TCCCCCGTTACTATCCCCTTTTTTCCCATACTCTCCTTCCTTTAATCCCTCTTTTTTCTCTCTCTCTCCCTTTTTCTTAACATCCTTCCTTCTTATTTATACCATTTCATCTCTCCTCTCTATACCTCCTATTTTCCCAACACGAACTTCCCTTCTTACAATAACCTCTTCCCCTCTTCTTTCTTTCCTTTTCTTTCCCTCCTCCCTTCCTTCTCTCTTTCCTTCTTTCTTTTTTTTTTTTCTCTTTTTTTTTTTTTTCTTTTTTTTTTTTTTTTTCTTTTTTTCTTCTTTCTTCTTTCTTCTCTTTCTTTCCTTCTTTCTTTCTTTTTTTCTTTCTTTTCTTTCTTCTTTTTTTTTCTTTTCTTTTTCCTTTCTTTCTTTCTTTTTTCTTTCTTTTCTTTCTTTTCTTTCTTTCTTTTTTTCTTCTTTTTTCTTTCTCTTTTTCTTTTCTTTTTTCTTTTTTCTTCCTCTTTCTTTCTTTTCTTTTTCTTCTTTTTTCCTTCTTTTCTTTTTTTTTTTTCTTCTTTTTTTTTTTTTTTTCTTTTTTTTTTTTTTTTTCTTTTTTCTTTCTTCTTTTTTTTTCTTCTTCCTTTTCTTTCTTTTCTTTCTTTTTTCTTTCTTTCTTTTTTTCTTCTTTTTCTTTTTTTCTTTTCTTTTTCTTCTTTTCTTTTCCTTTCTTTTTCTTTCCTTCTTCTTTTTTTTTTCTCTTTTTCTTTTTTTTTCTTTTCCTTCTTTTTTCCCTTCCCCCCTTTTCCCTTTTTCTTTTTTTTTTTTTCCTTCTTCTTTTTTTCTTTTTCTTTTTCTTTTTTTCTTTTTCTTTTTTTTTTTTTTTTTTCTTTTTTTTTTTCCCTTTTTTTCTTTTTTTTTTTCTCCTTCTTTTTCCTCTTTCCTTTCCCTTTTCCTTCCCTCCTCTTCTTATTTCTCACCTCTTTGCCTTTTTCCGTTGTCTTTTTTTTGTAATTCTACCACTCCTACTCATTCATCTTTTTATCTCTTCACCTATTCTTCACCCCGTTCTTTTCCCCAAATACTTTTCTTCCTACTTTCACCTTCCCCAACTCCATACATTTAACTCCGCCTTCCCCTTTCCCCCATCTCTTCCTCTCCCTCTATACTTCTCACATCTCTCATCCTTCCCTTTTCTTTTCCTTTTCTCTCCTCCTCCTCCCTTCCTCTTCTCCTTTCTTCTTTCTCTTTCCTTTTCTTTCCTTTTCCTCCTCTCTTTTCTTCTCTTTTTCTCTTCTCTTCTTTTTTTTTTTTTCTCCTTTTTTTTTTCCTTTTTTTCTTTCTTTTCTTTCTTTTTTTCTTTTTTTTTTTTTTCTTTTTTCTTTTTTTTTTTTCTTCTTTTTCTTTTTTTTTTTTTTTCTTTTTCCTCTTTTTCTTCTTTTCTTTTCTTTTTTCCTTTTCTTTTCTTTTTTTTCTTTTTTCTCTTTCTTTTCTTTTCTTTTCTTTTCTTTTCTTTTCTTTTCTTTTCTTTCTCTTTCTCTCTTTTTCTCTTTTCTTTCTCTTTCTTTTCTTTTCTTTCTCTTCCCTTCTTCTTTCTTTTTCTCTTTCTTTTCTTTTCCTTTTTTTCTTTTCTTTTTTCTTTTTTTCTTTTTCTTTTCTCTCTTTTTTTTTCTTTTCCTTTCTTCTTTCTTCTCTCTTTTCTTTTCCTTCTTTTTCTTTTCTCTTTTTCTTCTTTTTCTTTCTTTCTTTTTTTTTTTTCTTCTTTTTTTTTTTCCTTTTTTCTTTTTTTCTTTTTTCTTTCTTCTTCTTTCCTTTTCTTTCTTTTCCTTTCTTTTCTCTTTTCTTCTTTCTTTCTCTTCTCTTTTCTTTTTTCTTTTTCTTTCTTTTTTTCTTCTTTTTTTTTTCCTTTTTCCTTCTTTTTCTTCCTTTTTTTTCTTTTTCCTTTCTTTCCTTTTTTTCCTTTTTCTTTTCTTCTTTTTTTCTTTTTTCCCTTTTTCCCTATTCCTTCTTTCTCCTCTCTTTCTCCCACTCTCTTTTCCTTTTCATACTACTCAATATCCATTTTATCCCCCCATTATCAATTTCCACCATTATTTTTATCTCTTTTATTCTATTATTTTCTCCCCAAATCCTACCTTTTCTTCTTTTACCATTCTTTCTTCCCCTCCTCAATTCTCCTCCATTCTCATACTTACTTATTCTCATCAAACCACCCTTGTCCTTAACCATTTAATCCCCAACTCCTACTATCCCTTTATTTCAATCTTCCTTCCTACTTCCCACCAATCTTTCCTATTTCCTTCTTTCCTTCTCTCCCTCTTTTCTTCTTCCTCTTCTTTTCTCTTTTCTTCCTCTTTCTTTCTTTTTCTTTTCTTCTTTCTTTTTTTTTTCTTTTTTTCTTCTTTTTTCTTTCTTTTCTTTTTTCTCTTTTCTTTCTTCCTTTCTTTTTTTTTTTCCTCTTTTCTTTTTTTTCTTTCTTTCTTCTTTTTCTTTCTCTTCTTTCTCCCTTTCTTTCTTTTTTTCTCTTTCTTCTTTCTTTCTTTCTTCTCTTTTTTTCTTTTTTTTTTCTTCCTTTCTTCTCTTCTTTTTTCTCTTTTTTCTCTTTTCTTTTTTCTTTTCCTTTTCCTTTTTTTTTCTCTTTTTTTCTTTTTCCTCTTCCCTTCTCTTTCTTTCTTTTCTTCTTTTTCTTTTTCTTCCTTTTTCTTTTTTCTTTTTCTTCCTTCCTTTTCTTTTTTTTTCTTTCTTTTTCTCTTTTTCTTTCTTCCTTCTTCTTTCCTTTTTCCTTTTTTTTCTTTCTTTCTTTCTTCTTTTCTCTCTTCTTTTTTCTTTCTCTTTCTTTTTCTTCTCTCTTCTTTTTTTTTTTCTTCCTCTTTTTTTCCCTTTTTCTCTTTCTCTTCTTTTTCTCCTTCTTTCTCCTTTTCTTCTCTTCTTTTTCTTCTTTTTTCTTTTTTCTTTTTTCTTTCTCTTTTTTTTTTCTTTCCTTTCTCTCTTTTTCTTTCTTTTTTTTTTTCCCTTTTTTTTTTTCTTTTTTCCTTTTTCCTTTTTCTTTTTTCTTTTTTCTTTCCTTTTTTTTTCTTTTTTTCTTCCTTTTCTTTTTTCTTCTTTTTTTTTTTTTTTTTTTTTCTTTTTTTTCTTTTTCTTTCTTTCTTTCCCTTTTTTCTTTCCTTCTTTCCCTTTTTTCCTTTTTCCCTTCTTCTCTTTCTCTTTTTCTCTTTTCCTTTTTTTTTTTTTTTTTCTTTCTTTTTTCTTTCTTCTTTCCTTTCTTTTTTTTTCTTTCCCTTTTTCTCCTCCTCCTCTCTCACTTTCTTTTTTCTTCACCCATTATCTTATATATTCCACATAATCGCATTCTTCACACTTTAATCCTCTTTATACCCTCTACATGCCCTTCCCTACTTCCAATCTCCATCTTTATACTTACTCCCATATCCTCTATCTCTTTATCTCTCATCTATTCTCCTTACTTTTTCATTATCTCATCCCATCATTTGCCCTCTCTATATCCTCCTAAATTCTTCTTCTTATCCCATCTTATTCTCTATACCTCACCACTTTTATATTTTATTCTTTACCACTATTCCTCTATTTCCTTTACTTTAACTTTACCCTATCTATTCCTCCTATTTCTTATTACTCCATATTGTCTCCTTATTTTCTTCGTCTTCCCTCCAATCCATCTTCCATCCTTTTATCTACATTCACCCTCCCCGGTCCCTCCTTGATATATCTCACCTTTCCTCTTCACTCTCACTCTTTCACACATATATCTCTCTTGACCCTTCCCTTCTTCTTCCTTACTCATTACCCTTTCTCTACCTTTTATCTTTTTCCATAATCCCCCTCTCCACCTTTCCTTCCTTAGTCCATGCCAATGTGGGCGGGGCGTTTTCCAAATGGGCGGTACCAATCAAGTGAATCGTAGTTGAGCTAGAAGAATGCTTATAATGCAGAAAAAACTGAAAGTAAATATAAGGGCGATGAATCAGGTGGACAATGCGCCCTTGAAGAGAAAGTGGGAGGACTGACATACCAGGGGGAAAGGGTTGATAAAAGAGTTTCTCAAAAAGGTGTTTGCAGTTTTATACTAGTCCTCACAATGTGATCCCGAAAGAATTATTGAAGTGGATATAAGAGAAGCGGGCAGGTTGAGAGATGGTAAGTAGTGTGGTTGTCCCGCAGCGAAGAGTGCGTAGTTGATGATGGAGCATTATGAGCAGATAGGCAACCCTAACGTAGCGGGGAAATCGGTTCAAATGCTGGACGGGGATGGGAGCGGGAACTGAGCAGGCCAATGTAGGTTCTGCTTTTTGTCGCTAAGGGAATCGTACCGTGCGCGCTAGCAAACATTATATTCAATTGTTCTTCTTCTTCTCCCTAGCGTTAGTCCCGCGCAGTCGCAGGGTCCGCTGTCTTTGTCAGTCGTCGCCACTTTGCTCTGTCCAGGGCATCTTCTGCTGTGGCCATGACTTCACTTAGGTCCTTCTTGATCACGTCTCTCCACCTCTTCTTTGGGGCTCCTCGCGGTCGCTTGCCTTGCACTTCGAAGTCCATCGCTTTCTTTATCGGATGATCCTGTGGCCTCCTTAGCACGTGCCCATACCATCGCAGACGCTGTTCCGCACCTTCAGCTGGACAGGGGCAGTCTGCATGACCGCTCTGACATCCTCGTTTCTGACCCTGTCCAGCCGCGTCCAGCCGCAGGCCCATCTCAGCATCCTCATCTCAGCGGAGTGAAGTGATTCTTGTTCAGGGGCCAGCACTCGCTGCCGTATAGCATCGCAGGCCTCAGGCCTACCACTGTCCGGTACACCTTCCCTTTGAGCGTTCTGGAGCACCTTCGATCGCAGAGGATTCCAGTGGACTCCCTCCATTTCATCCATGCAGCGTTGACCCGGCCTTCACTGCCTGATCCACACTACCGTCGGCTGTCCAGACTGCCTTGTCTCCCCTGATTCCACCTCACGTCTCCCCATATTCAAACTGTACTATTATATTATATTTATTTAGACAGATTGGTTTTCAGGGCTTTCACCCTTGCTGTGTTGAAAAAATTCATGCGTAATGGATATCGAACCGATCTTCAGAATCATGTGATCGTTTATGTGACTGCTACTACGAAGTAGGTCTACTGTTCGTTTTTCCTCTACGGTACTCTCCTTAAATATCGAATATAAAAATATAAACAATAGGTGTTATAGGTAGACATAATTTGTGATTGGTCTGTTGCCCGAAGGGGGCTGCTGTTAGACTTGTTTCTAATGCTGCTATCAGAAGGAAATATGTACAAACATGTCATATGTGCTTCTAGACAATTAATAAAACGAAAATATTTGAGGCGCTTGTGTTAGAGTGAGGCGGCTTTTGCAGTAGTTGCTTGGGCTGTTATAACGAAATAAAAGATATCTGGGCAATTATATCCGCCTAAACTTATAACCATTCAGCAGTACGAAGAACATGTAAGGCGAAAATAAAGCGAAAAAAACCCGGAAAAAAACCTCGAACAAGGGAGCTTTCGAATGAAGCCTCCGTTTCAGAAGGAATCCGTGTTGAGGTTTCTGACATGTTCTGTTTTGTTAAGTACTGTTTTTCTAAACCATCTAGCAGATTGTACAAGAGCTGACATGCATTGCTCTGTTAGCTCTCTGAACGCTTCAGCAGACATTACCGTTTTAACAAGTTTTGCTTTTTGCTATCAACAAATTGCCTCTCCTTGCTGCGCCGAAACAGGCGCATCTGTGAGGAATTAAACGCGTAATTGTTGACGACAGCGTGACGCGGTAACGCGTTCCCCCTTTGCAAACCTTCGTGGGACAATTGGTGACGCCGCTAACACGTCCCACTCAGGTAATTCCTCCTTCTTGCGCTTGCGCTGACTTATTTCTAAAGATCTTTGTGCTCTTTCTATGAGCCATACATTACCACACTTATAATAACATGGCTCACAGAAAGGCCAAATATTCTTTGGTTTGGCAGAGGATTCCCAGAACTTACGAAAATATCCGTTCAGTTCATATCTCGTTTGTCGTCATTAGTCCGTGCGTACACATGTTGATAAAAAGGAAATAATAGAAGCGAATACAAACCTATTCGTATGGGAAGATATGTGTTTTACTGAAACAACCACGTCCAAATTAATTTTGGAACCACTAAAGGGAAAGTAAAGTAAAATTTGCCTTTTTCATGGCCTTAACACGTCATTTCGGTCAAACTTCCATTACTGCTAACTCTCGATAAGTTAGGCAGATCGAACATTGTTGAGAACATTATCATTGCCATCCACAAGTTATTGCCTTATTTTATGGCTAAAATCGATGGATGATCTGCGGCCGGCCGCGCTCACAAAAATCGCTTCTTGTCACCACGCCGGTACAAAAACGCGAAAACGCACGATCATGTTGTCAACGTGTTAATTATGTCGCAGGCACGTTAGGGAAAGAAATCAATAACGCTTTTGAAGCCTTCTTCTCTTGAAATGTAATTGTTGCTATCACTTTTATATGTTGTCTGTTTCAAATCTCCCAATTTTGGACTATAATAAATCCTGATTTTCAACTTTCATGGCCTCTCTTTATTTGACAGAATTTACTCAAGATAAATTAACGCAGATTCGAAGACGAACCGCAAAGAATTGTAGACGAAATCCTTGAAAAAAAGCGGCCACGTTATGAAGGCAATATTCACTGATTGGCTTATGCAAGAACCGCACGCTAGCGCACGTAACCGATCAGGCTGCTCTTCAGGTCAGTATTGAGTGCTTATTTGTCCATTTGCCTTTTTTGCAGTTAAAAATATCAAAATTAAAAATGTACTTGGTTAAACGTGTCAACTTGTGGTTGCGAGCCAGAGGCGCAAGAGCCGCGCATTGATTCAAACGTAATCAGTAATTGGATGTGCCTTCGCACAAAAACATGAGCGAGAGTAAGAGGACAGGGATGATCTGAAGGCGCCACCAACAATATAGCAGCACTACGGAGACACTGTAGGTGGCGCAATGCCATTTCAAACCGCGTAAAACACTCCTTTCTGTCAAAGTAGGAGAGGGAAAAATGGAAAAAAGGCTCGATATTGCATGAACAATTTTTTTAATTCCACGATGCTCCTGCCCCTCCTGAACTTGGTCCTAAAATCTTGCAATAGCGCCCAAAAGCATTAGATGTTACAAAAACCGCAAAAAAAAGTAGAATGCGTAGGACTGAAACCGCCGGCACTGGGTCAGAATATACACGTTTGCAACGCGTTCTAGGCTTTAACCAGGTATTAGCAAGTATGTAACCACGACTTGACCAGAATGCACACGTTTAGACAAAATGCCCCCGTATATTGCGATAGCGCACATTCCTTTTCATTGGAAATGGGACTAACCATAAGCTTTGGCCAGAAAAGGAGAGAAAGTGTGTTTGGCAATTTTATTTTCCCGGAGTCCATTCCCCTCCCAGGCTTAGCCCAAGAGGATGCCCATCTTGCGCCAACTACTGTATCCCATACTGCTCTTCTGAGCTGAACTCTTGTTTCGTCGAAGAGCAACGACTGGGAGGTCGCCCTTAACTGGGATTCGTGGAAGCGCTTCTTTTTCGTTTCAACTTCAAAATTCTCAATGAGTTCTGGTCTAATTCACAATGCATTTTTGATGTGATTCTTGCTTTGGTTTTATGACAAAGTTGAACAAGCTAGTTTTAAACAAGGGCGGAAGTGGTGTAGTGGCAAGTGGCACGCTTACCACGCGAGCGGTCCGGGGATCAAATCCTGGGTCGTGAGTCGCCCGGGCCAACCAAGCCTTCCATCCCTCCGGGGTCGGTTAATTGGTACCAGACTTGTCTGGGAGGATAAAAACACTGACTTGTACATCGGCTGGCCCCGCAAGTCATTGTATAGGCCACATCGCATTCAAACGCCACTACGAATGTACAAATGGAAGTAGAATGCGTGCCGCATCCCAAAAAGGGATTGATCAACGGCAAATGCTTTATCCTTTATCCTTTATGTTTTAAACAAAAAATAGTAAGCATAGCTGTTTATTCACTAATACATTTGTGTGGAAAGTGACTTCCTCTATCTCCACAAAATAAAATAGTGGGGAAGTTATACGAATGCTTCTTTTCAGGCTATCTCTGGTGGCGCTGCCTGCTCGTTCACTGCGATCGATTTATCTCAACTTCAAAACAAGGTTGGGGCTGTACAGCGGCTCATTAACAATGCTGAGTAAGTGTATTTCACTGCGCTAGTCGTTTGCATCGATTTCGGGTGTGATTTGTGATAAGAGCGATCTCTACGAGATGAAGAAATTACGGTTGGTATTCGAAGGTGGATGTTGCGAAAAAATCGCCATTGAAGCCCAAGGGAGGTGTTAGAGGGTGTCCCGGTAAAGGGAAATCCGGGTGAGTACGGTTCAATACCCCAGAAATGGGTCCTAGGTATTCCGAGCTCCGCTCTGGGCGGATTCAACGGTAGGTCAGGTTTTATATGGTTATGGGGGAGGTATAATTGACATAAAGCTCTTGCCTCTGCCCTCTCTACTGGTCTTTTCGCCACCAGATTACGTATCTCTCGCCTATCAAATCAAATCACTGGGCAAATCCTTGGAAGTAGGCGGGTCGGCACCGCCTGAGGTGCTTGCGGTTTAGTCTAGGCGCGGCGAATAGGCGCGCTGTTTCCGCGAGTTTGTCTCACCTCCCTTCGCCTGAGGCTCGCCATTCTTTTGTGCAACGATGAACTGAATGTTAGATAAGGGAGGGGTAGGCACCCTCGCCTTTATCTCCCAACCATTCCAGTTCATCGTACGTCCCTTCTTTAACTTGATCAGTGGCGTCTCATTCAAGGAGAATCGAATGAGATATGAAAGTTCGATGACCGTGCGTCTTCTTTTAGTGCGGCCCTACCACCCTTTATATGCCTTTTCAGACTGGGTACAGCTCCGTATCAGAGGGATGTCTTTAGTTTACTTGTTTTACTTTTCAGTAGAAACGGCGGAGAATACTGTGGTATGTTTGGTAGGACAACTACAACGATTGGTAGGACAACCACAACGACCACTGCTGTCCCACCTACCCCAGAAACGACTACTGTCCCTACAACAGAGCCCCCAACGACCACTACTGTCCCCCCTACCCCAGAAACGACTACTGTCCCCACTACCCCAGAAACGACTACTGTCCCCACAACAGAGCCCCCAACGACCACTACTGTCCCCGCTACCCCAACGACGACTGCTGCCCCACAACTGAGCCCCCAACGACCACTACTGTCCCCGCTACCCCAACGACGACTGCTGCTCCCACAACTGAGCCCCCAACGACCACTACTGTACCCCCTACCCCAGTGACGACTACTCTTACCACAATTGAGCAGCCAACGACCACGGATATCCTTACAACTACAACACAGCCAGCAGGACCTCGCTTCGATATTCTTTTCCTCATCGACGTCAGCAAGCAAGCGAAAGGTCGATTGGAGGATGTGAGTTATTCAATGTTGGCGCCTAAGCTGAGCAGTATCTAAGCGTTCTCCTTAGTTTGTTCGCTGTAACAATCAATAAGGGCTTATAAGGTCAAAAATGAATCTTGTATATTTTAATTTTGAACAATTCGTGAGAAACGCGTTTTTTATGCCCAAAAAAGCAGTCCGCTCAATTACTTTTTCGGAAGCATCATAGAAAGCAAAGGATTGACGACCATTACATAGACACGCTTACTAATCTGCTGGCGTCAATCCTTTATGATGGTTCACTAAATGTGATGAAGCAGCCCTACCTATGGGCTCAACTTGGAAAATTGGAACATGTTAAAGGACGAATTCACGATTAGAATGAAGGTCGAAGAAGGAGTAATTCACCTAGTTGAGGGACCCGCGGACCTCCTAAGGGTGCGGACTGAATTGGCACCGAAGGAGTTGACCTCGGCGACCTATTAAGGCTCAATCTTGGCGCGGTGGGCCAGTGCACGCCCACCGATCATCTGATCACTCGCCGCAGGTCTATACGTGGCGAGTGATTAGATAGGTGAGAGAGCGTAGTGTTGAATGCTCAAATCAACGGGCAAGGAAGGGGTCCATTTCTCGGGTTCTGGGCCGTTTCTCATGGTTCTTCCTTCTTTCGTGTACCACTCACCATCCCTAGGTTAATTTGAAATGGGTTGCTTTTTCATCGTGAATTCGTCCTTTAAAG